ATTTGAATATTCTCTTTGCTTTATATGTATTTCCATTACATATAAAGCTGCACATAGGAAGCAGCTGCGAATACATTAACCGAACGGTATGTGTGCTTGCTCACGAGTGTTTGGTAATGTTTTGCATGCTTGCTGCATTTCATGACATTCCATGTCCATTGCAGCAAGCAGGCTCGCAGCTGCCAGCTCGCCTGCATCGCAGGCTAAAAGTTTGTCCCACCCACCTCTTCCCTTTTGTTGGGTATTGCAATGCGGGCATCTGCGTTCGGGTGCTTTACTCTCTCTTCTCCTTTTCCATCGCGGATGTTTGCATCAACGTCAAGCGAAGCTTTGTTGGCCATCTTCTAAGAAGAATGACCACTCTGCATTTCTTCATCGGTGACAGGTCGGTGCCTTTCGATGCACCTTGATCTCACCGGATGGGGAAAACATGCAGATCTGTTTCACTGCAAGGTCCATCCCTTGCTCGGACAGCACGATCTGCATTCCCGCCAGAGAACAAAAGAACGAGTTTGTGCGAGTGATTGCATCAATTCCATTTGAATATTCTCTTTGCTTTATATGTATTTCCATTACATATAAAGCTGCACATAGGAAGCAGCTGCGAATACATTAACCGAACCGACCTTCGTCGGCTGGGTAACAAGAGAAAATGGATGCATGCAATGCTTATTCTTGCACGTCTGCAGCTATGAGACACGTGAATGCTTGCAGACTTGTTGTGGGTGTTGATTCTGCAGGCTCGGCCCCATGTCTCACAGGCACATGCATGCATAGACACGTTAATGCTTGCAGACTTCTTTCAGGTGTTGACGCTGCAGGCTCGGCCCCATGTCTCACAGGTGGATTAATTAATTTTTGTCTTTCCACAAATTGTTCTGTAGGGTTCACTCCAAGACTTGCCGGCAATGTTCAACAAAAGATCTTTGGCAGCAGAAGATGTGCAGGCCGTTGCTCCTGCAAAACGATTCAGGTCCGAGATGGTCGACATATTTTTAAACAATGAGCTCAGTTCTGAGCGAAGCGCTCGAGTACTGCGGTCAGCACAGGAAGCTGGGGCACAGCATGTAGAAGACCTTAAGGTTCGCCCGGAGACTCGCAACACCCATCGGGATCTTTTGCGGAGATGTTTTCGAAACACAAAATGGCCTGATTTATATCAGACAAAGGTTCGTGGTTGGAGTCAGGCGACGAACAGTTCTCAAGAGTATTCCTGGGCAGTTTTGCTGCCTCACGAATCCTTGCACTCACTGCTCAAAGTGAACACTGCAGAGGCCTTGCTTCAACAGCAAGCCGACATCCTGCCTGACAGGCCTGACCTGGAGAATAACTTGCATGTTTTGGAGAATGAGTTGGGCTTGGAGTCTGAAACCACTCTCCTCGCCGGCATATGGTGCGACGGCGTGCCGTTTAATAGCGACCGATCCATGACGTTGGAAACTGTCTCTTTGAACATTTTTGGCCAAGGGAATCTCCGCCTGCCTGTCGCGGCCTTTCCAAAGGCATTCCTGGCCAAATCGCAAACTCTTGAAGATAGATTCGAAATCATCCAGTGATCCTTCAAGCAGCTGGCGATGGGGGTCATGCCGAGCTGCCGACACGATGGCCGGCCCTTCGATAAGACCGACAACTATAGAAAACGGCTGGCAGGCGAAGAGCTTCCACTGAGAGCTGCTCTAGCTGAATTTCGAGCCGATTGGTCATGTTTCAAAGATGTGCTGAGCTTTCCTTCGTGGAGTTCGAAGGGGTTTATTTGTTGGAGGTGTATGTGCCCCCGAGCAGATCTGAAAAAAATCGATGCTCAGACTTTCGCCAAGCATCTGGTCTTAGATTGCAAGCTTTTATATCTTTTGGCTTTCGTGTAGCAATATATACCCTAGTATACTATGACATCGGAAGGAGTGAATTAGACCTTGGAACCGGTTCGAAACATCGGCCCAGGAAAGAATTTCTTTTAATTTCGACGTGTGCACACATGGTATAGACAGTTCAAGTCGATCGGTTCCTGGCAGTTGCCTTTGCCTCAGGTACCCTATCATTTCCAGCATGGAATTCTTCATGCGCCAGAGGCAGCAGAAGCAATTGGTGTCGAGATTGTGTTCTTGCCCAGGATTCAATACGGCCTGCTGCAAGATTGACTTTTTGCACGCTTGCGACCTCGGCGTAACATCCGACTGGCTTGGGTCTTTGCTGTTTTACTTACAGAGTGAGAAGATCAGAGGCCAGAGCAAACTCATCCGACGTGCCAAGCTGTACCAAGACATCAAGGCATATTACGACAGAACTGGGGTCACAGATCGATTGCCGAAGCTCGTTCCCACCATGCTGCGTGAAGAGGATCGAGGCAAGATCAAATCCCCCAAGTTGAGAGCCAAAGCCTGGGAAGCTCGAGCCCTCGTGGGAGCTGCGTTGGAATTGGCTACAAAGTATTTGTCGCCTGCAAAACCTGCTGAAGAGGCGATGTTGCGTGGCACAGAAGCTTTGCATGCCATGTATGCCTGTCTCAGTACTGCAGCTTGGGACAAGGACGTCTTCAGAATTTCTTCTCAGAAATTTCTATTACTCTGGGGCAGCCTCGAGACTTACTTCGAAGCCGACAAAATCTTTAGGGTGAAACCTAAAGCCATCAGCTTTTCGAATTGGCCAGGGCCCAGGTGAACCCTAGTAAGACCTGGACCTACAGGGATGAGTCTTACGGGCACACCCTAGCATTGCTGGGCAGACGGCGGGGTGGCCAATTTTCCATGTATGCTGTTTCTTGCCAAGTTCTGAGACGATTCCTGGCAGCTAATAAAGTTCCTCGAGTCGGCACGTGATCCTTGGGAGGAAAAAGCACGTGCAGTCGATCGTCCGCACGCACATGTTTGTTATTTTGGGGATGCATATACAGAATTTAACAATGCTTAATTAAGCAATGTTTTCGTATTTTATATACCATGCTTAAATAGACACTATCATGCTTAATCAAGATGACCAAAGATATCTAAAAAATATTTAACCATCTTTGGAAGATCTGGGAACTGGACATCCGGAAAATGCTGAGTCCTCATTGCCGAAGCCTTGATTGATTTATATGACTCGTGATTTATATGTATTCCTTTTGATATGACTCATTTGCCAGTTGCTTTGCTGGCTCCTACAAAGGTTTTTGGGTTTGCCCAAAGGGATTTGTAGGATGCAAAGGGGAGGAGGGCGGGCCCCAAAAGTTTTAACTGATTTTATCAGGACGATTTCCTTTTCGATTTTCCGCATGCTCTTTTTCATATGATTTTGTCGTAGGTGTTTCACATGTCGATTTGCACTGCTTTAGTGCTCTGATAACTGATTCGATTCTCTCCGTGAAATAGAGGCTCCAGAGGAGGGAGCTTAGAAGTTTTTAGTCCCACCCGTCCCACCCTGGAAACTTACCTTGCGCTGGTGGGATGTTGGTTTGAGCTATGGGTGGAGGCCGGTCCCCGAATGGGGACCCGGTCTCGGCTCGCTGTTACGGCGCGAACTGGACATCCGGAAAATGCTGAGTCCTCGTTGCCGAAGCCTTGATTGATTTATATTGGAAAGATGTTGGACTCGTGATTTATTTGTTTTCCTTGTGATATGATTCATTTGCCAGTTGCTTTGCTGGCTCCTACGAAGAAACACCTCGGGACCGTTCAACTACAGGGCTAAGCATTCGCCCACTGCCTTAAACACTCTAACACAGTGTGTTTCATAGCTACAAAGCTGCCTCAGCATCTGCCTTAATTCCAGACGAATGCGCGGCTTTTCAGTCGTCTTCTCACAAAGTCTAGCCGGGGGTGTTGTCCTTTTCGACAGACTCTGCCCCGCAGCATCTGTCAGCCTTCGGCTAGCCGCTACGCCTACAGATCCAACACGGTAAAAAGAGAGTTGAAATGCTAGCCTACCTAAACGCGCAGCTTGCAGATTTTTATTGACATGAGCTGCTGGAAAACGGTCATGCCAGCCGCACTATCTGCAAATAAAGCTCCACCGGTAAATGAGCTTATTCTAGTCAGCAGTGTTTTCTCGTTCAGCAGCACCGGCATTGCAATGTTTCTGGTTCCAACAAAAGAAACCGTTGACAACTTAGGATGAGCAGCTTTAAGTTCTTGTTTTTCATCCGTTGCCTTCTACCTTTAAGTACGCGTCGCTTTGCGCTGCAGCTCAGCAACGTCAGCGGAAAAAGACCGCGATTTGCGAGTCAACGACCGAACAGGTGGACTTCCGTTCAACATCGCTGAAGCGGATAGGCGTGAGGTCATCTTGCCGAAGCCACGCTTACTCCTTGTTTGTTTGCTGGTCAAGCGTTTCCTGCTGCTGCTTCAATGAACAAAACTTTCCTGCCATTGTCTGCTTGCATCCCGAGGCTACTGGAAAGTAAAAACCCATGCTGGCCGTTTGATGGTTCATGAGGTCGGCAGCATCTTTTATTCGAACGGTTCTAATGTCCGAAAGCAGAAGCAGGGCACTGGCCACGGCCACAAGTACAAAGCTTAAATGATTATAATTGGTTGCCTGCCTGTTGTTGCGAATGGGCCGCTTCTTTGTGGAACAGTGGCAGCTTTCCATGCAGTGTGCGGCTTTCCTGGCTTTGTCGCTTCTGCCGATTCGGGGAGAGGGCAGCGCTGGAAGACTTCAAATCCCAGACCTGGGAAGGCAGTTGGGCCTTGGGGCCTTGTACGACGCCGTGGAAGATGTCCCTCTGGATGCGTTACCGGGCACGATTTCAGAGTAACGGATGTCCTGTGGTGCACCAATTGTTTGAACGTCGGGTCGTGTTGCAACCCATTGCTGGCGTCCGTTCAGCATGCAGCAGTCAGCCTGAGGAATGGGCACGGTGTGTTCGAACACCTGTTAGACATCTATCTTTACTGCACGAAGTAAAGGGTCATGAAGCTCATAGCATTGAGAGGTGTAGGTTTAAAGACCCATGAGACATGCTGGTAAAGGAAGAAGACCCACACCTCTGTCTCTAAGAAGCCCACAGTTTCCAACGTAGGTTCATGTGGCCAAACGACGTCTTGAACAATCCTCGTTTTGTGCGTACAACTCCTGCGAGCTCGTCTTCTTTGAGCTTTACGCACGAGAAGAAGCTGGCTTTCCGCCCGCAGATCAAGAAGCTACAAGCAAGGGGCATTTGCGGCCTGTTCAGTAGGAGGGGAACTGTTTTCCTGTTTCTTTCAAGTCCGTGCGACTCATGCATATCCTGGTTCCCGATGTTCAGGTTGCTCGAGCAAGCTTGCAGGATATATCTGCAACCGCAACTTTGGCCATCGGCTTCGGCCTTGCATCCGTCTCCGGCCGCTTGGAAGTCAATTGAAACCTACGACTTCAAGTTTGGGGTTTGAAGTTGTAATCCCCGAGTTGGAAGGATCTTTACATGATCCGTCTCTCAACGTCAGCTCCCCCTTACCAGCGATCACTGGAAAGATTCCTGAGTCAGGGCTTTTTGCGCTCTCAATGCCAAGCCCAAAATGTCAGCCTTGAGGTGTTGGCGGCCCTAAGCCTAAGCCCTAAACCCTGAATCCTAATGCAAAATGTCGAAGGTTCTGTCCGACTTCTGCAGGAGGACCGCACCAACAAACATACTGCAGAGGTGGTGGCTAACTACAAGGCAGTCTAACAACCATCTGCATGAGTACGTGCACGAGAAAATGGAGAGTTCCACAGCTAAAGTCTTCAAAAAGGAATTGAGAACTCCCGCCAGGTGCTGACTGAAAGAACTTCGTTGAACATCCATGATGCCACGATTTGCGACGAGCGTCTTGATCTGACTGCATATCCGGGCCTGGGTCAGGCAACGCATGTGGTGACGGAGATCATATGGGGGAACGAATGTGGCGGGGTGTTCACAAAGACCACCCAGAGCGAGTCCACCAGAGATATTGATGCTGCAAGTGTCCGCGTTAAAGTTAACTTGCTGCTTAAAACAGTTACAAAAACAATCGCTGATCACCACCATGAATCCGCTTCATCGTCTTCATCGGAAGACATTTCTGTACATACATTTGGTGATCTCCTTCCAGATGGCGAGTCTCCAACCGATGCTGCTTCGGCAGTGCGGTATATGCTCAACATGCCCGACAAGGTGCGCCAAGGAGGTGCAGTTCCCAAGTTGCTGACGTTAACGCCCGTTGACGAGGTCTGCGCGCACGCCTCGCAGACGGGTCGCCGACTCTCACCGTCCAGGGAACTCTACAGTGTAGACTTGCCGGAACGCTTTGTAAGCTTGGCATTGCAGATGCTTCAGGAGTTGGAAGATGCCGAAGCCTGTTGGAAGGAGTTACAAAGCTTTTCCCCCCATGGCTTCTTGTCACTGGCATCCACTGTTAACTGCCACCTCTGGAACATTCATGCTTACCGCATAGAATTTGGAAAAGTGCTTCATGCTGCGATCGCGCGGTACCGCGCAACTGGCGAAACCCTGGTCTTGGATGAGGCACTTCAGAGCTTCCATGATGCTGGCTTCTCTGCCTCGGACACGGATGGTGCGTGCGAAGCCTTGCATGCAGACTTCCTTGCAGCCAGTAGCCTGGCGAGCTTCATGGAAGCAGCGGCATCGCTTCGCATGGCATCTCGTTTCTCAGACTTTTCCAAGATCTTGTGGAGCCCAGACAAAGATCTTGTCTACATGCTTGTGTATGTCGGTTCACCAGGATCCGAGAACAAGGGCTCGCTTGACCTGTTGAAAGGCTTTGTTAACATGGCTGCGGAATTCCGGCACGACAATGCCTCACCGCATTGCATCAGAAACGGGACGGGCCAACAGGAATGCTTCAAGGACGTGGGATTTACACTTGTGCAGTTCGACACCTTTTGCCAGCAGTTCTGCTCAGCGCAACATTGCCAGCAGTGGTGCCAGCATGAGAATTGTACGCACCAGACTGTATCGGGTCTTAGTTTTGAGATGCCTGACGAGCTATGGTGCCAGTCTCCGTACTCGGTCGTAATGCGGGGTCACAAACATCAGCGACCTGAACTAGTGGATGAGCACCTCCTTGCTCTACCCAAACTGGAGGTGACACTAGAGGAAGGCCAGGACCTAAGGCAGGAAGCTGTTCTTGACGTGGAGATGGACTGTGCGCCCCCAGACGTCTTGAACTACATTCTTCGCGTGTCTCGAGAGGTTTCGAGGACTTTGGATCCGTTCACTGGCCGTACTGTGCGGAAATATGCTCAGATAGACTACGAGGTCCAAGCAGGCGACTTGCAGGTGGCTGCTCCTTTTTGGGAACCTTGTTGATGCTGCGCCCGAACAATTTATAAGCATCCGCGTAAGGGGGCACTTGCTTTCTGAGAAAATTGTGCTCAGGTCGTTCTGAGCATTGATAGAGGCAGTTTGAACTCCTTCAGCGTTGCGGCGGTTGCAGCAGCAGGAACCAGCCCTTTCTCCAACGAGGTGTCATTGACAGCGCAGTCCTGCTCCTCAGGTGCTGGAAGGTGCCTGCAGACAGAGACAGGCCTGACAATTTTGCCTGTGCCCGTCGCGGGCGAGCGGTCCACACGCAGGGCATTGCTGGAGCTTGGCCGTGAGCAGAGGGATCGGGTGCCCAGCTGGCTGTGCTTCGCAATAACTATCGTCCTGTCTTCGCCTGCATCCGAGAGGCTGGTTTCAGTCGATTTCGTGGATCCGAACAACACCAGGACACTCTCCCACAACATCAGACGTTCAAACTTTGGAGCTCTCCCAGTTAAAGGAAGTGCAAGTCTTGTTTCCTCCAGATTCGGGAAAGTGCCAGGAAGAGTTTCACATGTGTGGGCAATGGGGACTCTTTCGACACGATCCATTGCTGGATGCCAGCCGCGAGAACTTCAGCTGATCTCCTTTGGCAGTATCTGGGTCATTGTTGGAGCAGGGCCTTGCCTTTTGCTTTAAATGCCGCTCATTCCCCCGTCCTGCAACAGATTCCTGTGCCAAATCTGGTTACCGAGGTACCACATTGGCACACTTGCTTAACAGTGACCGCAACCGATCGACCCCCATAATGTGAGTAAGCTATCTCCGTTCAACATCTGCATTTGGACAGTTCAAGGTGCAGTAGGGTTGTAACAGTAGTTTTTGGTGAGTATATACAGCGTTTCGAGTGGAAAAACATAAAGTAGAATATCAAAATCCTATCACATGTCGATTCGTTTGTCTCTCTCACGATTGCGACTCCCGTGTATACGACTAACATGTGAGGACGAACGGGGACAAAGAAGATATGGCCGAGCTTTCTTGACGAACCCGGTCATCTACTCCGCTCACCCCCAATGCCAAACCTCAAACCCGTCCCTCCAAACTTCAAGCCCTCAGCCGAGATCCCCTTCCCCTCTCAGAACTCTTGCCACCGAAGCCTTAGGTATCGCATCAAGGGTGACTCCGGGGCAGCTGTGGCCGAGGAGGGCACGCTGATCCAAGAGGCTCCATCCATCGAAGCTTGCCGTCGATGGGAGCAGGCATCGGATTGTACAGGGCTATATATATACATATATATATACATATATATATATATATATATATATATATATACATACATACATATATACGTATATATATATATATGTATGTATATGTGTGTATATATATATCTAAGGGTTTAGGGTTCAGGGTTAGGGGGTATATAGGGCAAAATAAGGGAATGGCCATGAGACCTGGAAGCTACTACCATATGGGTCTAGGAGGTTTTGGGGTTCTGGGGACCCCAAGAGCCAACTCGTGCGACCTTCTTCTTTTATTTCCAGGGTTGCGAGCTTAAGGAGCTTGAGTATCAAAGGGGACAAGGAGGGACCCTGAATGGGGATATAATAGCTATATTAAGGGTATACACCTAGGGGTCCTTATTAAGGGTCCCTCCTTTTACCCTTGGAGAGTAAATCTGGGGGTTGGTGCTTTTCGAGCCTTTGGGCATACTCTGGGGTGTTTATGGCTTAAGCAAGCTTTTTGACAGCCCCTTTTCATGGGGTCTCGCAGAGAGAGTTTTGCCCTTGATACAAGCTTTCTTGTTTTCCTTTCCGTTTTTTCCAAGCCCTCTCTGGCAGGCATACTACTGCCACTCTTCTGAGCCGGTCTGCGTGCAAAACTGCCACCAGTGCTCTTGGGCAGCATCAACTCGCAGGTTTCACAACAAGTGCCCCCTGGGCGGGGATCTCTGCAGTGGTTGGATTCGAGGATATTTCGAAGGGACCCATCCCTGAACCCTAGGCAGTGAACCCCAACTCCAGCACCCTATGCCAGCAGCATTGGCATCGAATTCAGGGCAGTGTGACAGGTGGGCTTGCATAAAGTGAGGCGCCGTTTTATGGTGAGTCCTCTCAAAGAGGATCAGCTTAGTTTTGGCGTCAGAATGCAATCCCAAACCCATTGTTTGGAGTCAGACGCCTTGATGATCATTTGGCGGGTGTACATCAGCAAGAGCCCAGACCCGTTAAAAGATCCAAGACATGGAACCCCTTATTGATCCACTGGTTTCCCCATGGTCTGGGAACAGACGCATTTCCCAGGTTCCGCCAGAAAGCATGCACCTGGCAGGGCCCCGAACTGTGAGGAGCCTGGGGCCTACTGGGCCGCCTTGGAATCTCGCTCGTCGTTGGCTTGCTTTCTTGGGACATATGAGGGGTGTCCCAAAAATATGGATACCTTTTGGCAAGGACGGTTTGTCTTGGGGTCTTAAATGGGAAGCAACCATATCAGGTCCGTTAGGCTTCTTATTGTGGCGATGGTCTTTCCCAGACTCTGAATGTCTCCTGGCTGGTGCTCCATCCAATCCACAGCAGGATCATGTGTGCTATAGTCAAAATTCCTCAAATGGGGTTGCACAGGGTGTTATATTGGGGACCCCCCAGTGGTTTACAGCAACATTCAGAATTAAACCCCAAACCCAAACCCTAAAAACCCTGAAGCTTCAAGGAATTCCCAGAGACGACTGGTGGAGTGGCTGGAAGCCAAAATGAGTCCGGCAATGGCCAGGCATGCTCTCTTCCGAAGTACCCTCATGAAATTTGAGTAGCAATTTTGTTCCGGGCTACTAGGGTACGGAAAAGGACATCCACCTGGCACAAAGTTTAGATCATCTTTGCTAGCAAGATGAGCAGCCATGTAGTGGCCCAAGATGAAAAATACATCAAGGCCCCAACATCCTGACTTGTGAGTCCTAAACCCTATTATGCTCTAGTATCTGGAATGTCTGTCTGGTTCTCAGAAGGGAACGGGGGAATGGATTGTGGAGACTATTGGGGACTATATAGGGACTACTACAGGGATCCATTCCCACTCCCGACGAAGCACCAGACAGATGTTGACTGCACACGACACAGGTACTGGGAGCTGGGCCTGGAGCGGCGCTTGAGCGGAAGCGTCGCTGAGCCCACCAGGGACGATATCAAGGTGCGGAAGCGCCCTTTGGGGTTTACATAGGGCCTTTTTGGGCGGCACAAGGTCTGATGAGACCCTAAACCGTTTTTGAGATAACACTGGGGGCACGCTCGTCTGAGTCAGGTGAAACTGAAGATCCAGAGCCGAAGCATGTGCCCCACACGAAGGGACGTGGTCCGAGGGCAGACATGCTGCTGGGTCTCTGACTGGGTTGCTGTTAAGACTTAAGGAACTTAAACTGAGCTACCATACTCGGTATACGTAGATCTTAATTAGCATGGTTCCCCCGTCATGGTTACTTAAAAATTAAATTCGTGAACAGCACCGCAGTGTTCATGACCTAGGCTCCAATTTTCGGCCAGCCGCTTTGACGACCAGCCTCCAGCAATTGAAGGCTAAGTTGCACCACAATCACTCATTGCTGCTGAGCGGGGAGGTCGAGAAATCTCCAAAAGTCAAAATTATGCGTTGTGCCCTGCGGTCCCTTTGTTTTTTAAACGCAATCACTGAGTGGAAATCGAAAGGTCCATCTGGACTTGCTGGTGGCATACGACTCTATCCGCTGGAGCATGCGGTGTGGTTCTCAGTTGGACATGCACAGAAGAGTGCAAGCTTGCCATTCATTCAAGTCTTCTCTTTTCGCTCAACTCAGGCCGTTTGTCGACAGTCTTGCGCACCTAACTGGCAGTTTGCCAGACGACATTGCGGCATCGCCACTGCCTATGTGGGTTCGCGGCGGCAATAGGGCAAGAGTGATTTACGCAGTAGGGATAGATTGTGCTGACGGATGTGTGGAGATTTCACTACAACTGAAGAACAATCTCACTCGGGACGTGGAAACTGGTGCCTTGTCGAACAACTTGATGCAGCTATTTCAGCGGCAAGAATTCCCCATGAAGATTGCTGACTTGACTGCGCCTGTGTTGCGCTCCTTTCCAGATGAGCTGACGCTGGATGCTGATTTCAGCTCCACATTGACTTCGACACCAACAGCAACACCAACAACAACAACAACAAGAACAAGAACAAGAACAACAACAACAAATACCTGGACACTGACCAGCGCAACTTCAAGCCGGACAACGCTTACCACATCGTCGTCAACAAGCTCCGTCACAGAAACCGAGGAACCAACTACAGTGTCGTCGTCAACGACGGGGCAGTCTCACACCCTTACATCCACAACATGGTCTACTTCAACCTCATCGACATTATCAACGGCATCTGCAACATCAACAACATCAGCTACATCAACATCATCGACACCGTCAACATCATCAACTTTCACATCATCTTCTTCATCTCTTTCTTCAGAAACCAGTTTATCATCAACATCTTCACCAATGGTCTCATCGACATCTACATCGTCATCATCATCTCTGACAACCTCGTCGACGTATTCATTTTCTTCGTCAACAGCCACTGGTACAGCAGGAGTTACCACGACAAGCACAGCTCTGGGCGTCGGCGCTTTAACGTTTGACTCTGTGATTACAGTTGTGGATGTCTCCGCGTTCAACGAGACCATGTACATAAGCACGATGGCACGTCTCGCCGGAGTTCCTGCTGAAAACATCATGGTGACCAGCGTGTCCTTCACAACGTTGGTAAGCTTAGCGCTTAGCGGCAATGTCGACGACACCGTGGCTAAGCAAGCCATTGCGGCTGTCGTAGGTGTGAATGAGACACAGATTACCTTGATTGAAGGAGTACAGAGCATCGGCAGCCGACGTCTGTCCACAAGCTTTGACTGCAGCATTACTGTGGCAGATGTCTCATCTTCCGCCGTCGTGTCGGAGCTTGTGGGTGATGCCACCATCCTCAGTGAAGGGTTTGCAGACCAAGGGCTTCTGGTTTCGGTGACGCCCTCCGCTCCAAGGACACTCATCTCTGTGAGCCAAGCAGTTCTTGGCCCCAGTGACTTCGCGGCGCCAAACAACGCAGCTTTGAAGGATGGCCTGGAGGAGGTTCTAGACACAGAGCTCGAGGTGGCAGCGTCCCAAAGTCCGGGTTCCACTTGTGCAGTCGCTCTGATAAGTTCTCTGGTCGTAGGTTAGCACTTTGTGTTTGGGCCTGGAACCGTAGGTCAGCATCATGAACGTGCAGTACTCGGCTCCAGCTACAGACGCGCCGGAGGAGTCTTCGACGTCATCAATGAACATCACAGATGTTCACACGTTTGACCAGGACTGGCCGTCGCCTTCTTTGGAGTGCATTCCTGAGCAGTCAGGCAGATAACCTTGAACCAGTGGTAGGAGGAGCAGTCCTACGTCCTTCTTGCCGTCATCGTTTGCGGTGCCTGGGCGGGTGTCGAATCCTCCACCCCAGCCTTTTCCTGCCACCACTTACCATTGATATCCGTTGACCATTGTAGGTGATTAGTCCATGAAGAGGCCAAGCAGTCTGATTACTTGGCTGCTTTCAAAATCGAGCTAGCAACAGTTGGACGTCAAATAGTAGTATCTCAGCAACACCCTAAACCCTAATCCCTAGACTCTAAACCTTATCCCCTGACCCCAAGCCTCCAAACCCCAAAATCTCAACCCTCACCCCTATACCCCAACCCTATAAAGACTCTAATCCCCAAAGCCTCAACCCCTTCAAAGCAGTTTCTGGAAGCACAGCCAAGGATCGGTTATGCTCTCATCAGTCCTGGGCTTGCTGCTCTGGTACAGACTGCAGACCCTGGCTAGAGCACCTGTGGACACCTCAACGATGGTGGACTCCTACAAAGAATTGAGGTGTCATTAGGGCTGTTATAAGCTAGACAACATACACTTTTTTTGAGTTACAGTGCTTTGAGATGCACCCTTCCAAGCTCGCAAACCGTCTACCAGAGTGGAGTGCAACAGTAAGAGCTCTTTTAAGTCTGCGCATGCAAGCGAAACCTTGCGATGGATGGTAAGGATGTCATATACCAGCCTCGTGATGAGCAAGACGTTGCTTGGCTTTCGACTGGCATGCATTGGCTTTGGTCACCTCTTGCTAAAATCAGCGTTGGAACTATAAGCCTCGTCACGTGCTGATTAAGCACTCTTGAAAGGCCCCTTTGGTGGCACAAAGCCTCGGGGCGCTCTTTGTGGCATTCCATTTGCTTGATCGCTTGCTCTGCTTGTCCTTGGCTGTCACGGTGCAATCTGAACGTTTCAAGTATGCACCTCGTTTGGAAGAACGAGTTACGACTGCCTGTGCTAGCATAGTCTATCTTTCCCTCCTAAACCATCATAGATGTTTCAAGTTTCGGCTAGAAATGTAGTTTCGGTATTGCTATCGTTCGGTCGACAGGGCTAGCATGTGGCACATGTTTGTCTGAGCCGAAGACAGATTCGACCTGGTACTGATATGAACCATATTCAATGAAGTGCCTTGATGCGGGTTATATAGGGGATGATATATGGCATATGGGACTACTGTCGCATAAAGGGGGATGCTAGGAGCTTGAGTGATACCTCATGAGCAATAGTGCCTAGTCCCAGTCTGCCATCCCAAACAGAGCAAGCTTCGAAAGGCAGCAGCAGCCTGGGACGGGCTTCTTCCCGATCCCGGCGGACCCTTGGCAGATTCAATTCTGTTGGCGGAATGGCATAAGGATGTTTGAAGACAGAACTCACCAGAATCAATAGAACTTTTGCACGTCCTGATGCTTGCAATCACTTTACCTACTTGCCTGCTCTATCTCTCAGTCCCTCCCCTCACCTCCCTCAAGTAATGTTAAAAGGGATCCCGAACTTCGAGACACGAGGTGTTGGCCTTGCAGTTTCTGTGCGGGCAGAGACTGGCCATCCGATGGCCGATGAGAACCTCCCAGGCGAACTGCTTGAGTGATCGTTTCGCCCCTGATGTGAAACATGCTTCTTCCCCTAATCCCACGCATCCATGGGAGGTCTTGTCAGGAACCTTCATGGAATTCGCAAGTAGGTGGGGGAGGAGGGTGTTTTGGATGCTGCGGCAGAAGGTAGCTTTCCTCAACAAAGCTCGACAAAGATTTGAGCTGTGAGCCGGCCAGCTGCAGTCTGCACGCGCTTGCGCAGCAAAAGAATTTCTGCTCGTAGGGCAAGGGCTTAAGGATACCCCGAACTCAGAAGATGCAACCAACAGCAAGTAGGAGGCATCATGAGCATACATGAGAATCGTAGGACCGACAAGCATTCCTGGTTTGAGACTGTGGTGATGACCACGATCATGCGAACATCAGGTTAGATGTGCATCAAGCAGGCAAATGTCATTTGACGAATAAGATAGGTGGAGTAAGTTGCATAGTTGTGATCGTGTGCCTGAAGAAAAGACGCAGAGGCCCTCCGCCATTTTTGCGGGCCGTTGCATGACGTTTGGCGCAGAAGGGAGTGGAGGGGGAATGGAACGGGAAGACCGTGCATTCACTCCGCGATTCGTGCAGCCTTTTCTGATCAAGCAAGGTCCAGCGGAGCGAGCTGCAGCCATTCCGTGTTTCTTTCGGTCTTGTCCGCATGACACGCTTTCTGTGGTTGCAGCTTCTGCATCTTCTTGCAGCGACGGAGGAGAACCAGGCTCGTAGGGAGCCCATCGCTCAAGATGAGAGTTTGCAAATTCACATATTCAGCGCGATTGTTGCGCCTGCCGCACTCAAGTACAAAGAGCACAACATTTTTAAAGAGCAGAAGTTTTTTTGCTCTTTTTAAGTTTTTCCTCAAAGCCCAACTGCTGACACCGGAAGGACACGGACCGGGCCAATGAAGCGATCAACATGCCAGACTTGGGCCGCCATTTCTGGCTGGGCGAGCTCTACGATTGCAACAAGGTCTTGCAGTGGCTGAGATGGGGGATGTCAGTATGTTGAAAGCATTCGTACATGCAGCATACATATAGGGACTGTAGTAGTACTCCTACCCCAGAGTTACTGCCGCCCAGCATATATATCTCCGCCGTTTTCGCTCTATACAATCCTTCCGAGGGGGGATGCCTTTAAGGGGGGAATATCGTACCCCTTTGTATAATCCCTAATCCGAAACTCTAAACTGGCGAAGACCAGGTCCAAAGACCAGTCTGTTGCCCACAACACCGTTTCTTCTTTGAGATTCCAAGCTTCCAATTCGCGAAGCAAGCGATGACTCGTATAGAGTTTAAGCGAATTCTTGCAGAAGTTGTCTTGCATGGCCAGGACGAACCTGTTGGCGGAAGCCTGTGGCCTTTGAGCGCATTGGACAACCCTAGCTTTGTGCGGGAAACCAATGCGGCAAGTGCAAGGTATCGGCTGTCATTCACAGACACCTTTGCCGATCGTCTTGACCTGATGGATATTCACGGTGAGATTGCTTTCGAGGTCTCAAAAGGCGTCACAAAAGCACAAGTCAAAGGTTCAGGAAGCTATCTGTCAATGACGAAAAACAGTGACCTGGACGTCCAAGACTCAGTCCGAGAGTAACAGTGGTACCTTTTACTGTAGGGATGGTATGTTGCATTGCATTCAGGCCGTGGCACGTCATGCTGAAGGAAGTTGCGGTCATCTGCACCAGTGTAAATGTCAGTCAGTGTACTTCTGCAGAGGTGTTTGCACTAGGGCGAGGCACTTCTCTTCTGTCTCCACGCACCATGCTAGAGAGACGTACGACAGATGAAGTTGCGTCAGACATTCAAGCCTTTTTCTGTGTAAGGTCAGCAGCAGCCTGATGATGGAGGTGCGCACAGTCCGGAGGAGTCTCAATGCGATGGATCCCAGCATGCAAGCACTTCGGGCTGATTACATACCACCTCAAGCCACGCACTTCGTCAGCAGCATCACCTACGGGGCAGACTGTGCAGTGAGCTTCCGGCAGACCGCCAGCAGTGAGGAGTTCAAGCGAGATATCCAGGCGAGCCTTGAAGGAAAGATTAAAACACTCAGCTATGAGCTTGAAGTCGCCGGCAGCTACAAGAAGGAGGACTTGGATGTAGAGGATGCGACATCTATCGGGATTGACATACATGGTGACATCATTCCCGGCGATCTCAGCGGCGCTCTTGCTGATTCAAGAGCTTCAAGAAGACTTGCATCGCGACGTCTCAATACAGGACACTTTGAGGGCTGCGCGAGTACTGCAGGGTGGACGGATGGAACTCCTGCCAAAAATGGCTGCGATTACTACGAGAAAGGGCAGTGTAGCAGCGGCTACCTTTCCGATCCGAAGGAAGCGCACACTCTCAATTTTCCGAATCTCCATTGCTGTGCTTGTGGCAGATGTGCAGACGCTCCTGGGTGGACCGATGGGCAGGGCTTGACCTGCGGTGCCTATCGAGCACAGTTTTGCGATGGCCACGCATACACAGGAGATGCTCCCGCTACTTTGAAAAATCGTCCAGATGAAAACTGCTGTGGCTGTGGACGTTGTGCAGACACGCTGGCCTGGACAGACGAAGATCTCAACTCGTGTGACTGGTATGCCGATGAATCGAATGGGATGTGCAAAGACGGGAAGTGGCTTAAAGAATCGGCTTCTGGTCCGGTTTAGCAGGACTTGTAGAACTATAGCCTATATCTATTTTGTTTGTTTGCAAGTTGCTGATGCGAATTGAGGCCGAAGCCAAAGCACGCAATCATCCAGAAGTGCATTGCTGTGCCTGCGGTAAGTTGGCACTCCAGTCCGCCTTGCTTGTCGAAACCGCCTCTGTCGGAGGCTGGGTTATTGTTAAGGAACTTAAACTAAGTTACCATGATAGGGCCCTATAGTGAGTATTCTGGTTTCCTCAGTTTTGGTAACTTGAGATACCATGATAGGGCTCTACAGTATATATTCTAGTTTCCTTATTTTTGGTAACTTAAGCTAAACCCCTGAACAAGAACTCAGGAGAGGCATCCGGTGGAGGCTCGAGTTCCGGTCTCGGTCAGAATGCAGGGTCCTTCGACCTGGAACCCCCGACGCGACTTCCGACAAATGTCCCTACGAAGAAATGTTGGTGATGTCCAATCTTTGTAGGCTGCCATTTCACTGCAGAACGCGTCCTTTAGACTCGCACCGTTGCTTCTTCAAAGCAGCAAAGGCAAAGGGCGCGCTTGACTACCTATCCCGCGTGCATGTGTCGGCGGTGCAAAGTGGGGGCGTCCCCAAGCAAATTACACTGACTCCAGTGAAGTGGCTCGTCAGTTCGGGGCTCGGTTGTGCATCGGGTGAAAGCCTGAGCCGTCCAGCAAGTATCCCTAGGACTTTTGCAGTACCGAATTGTGGTGATGCAGACATGGCGACTTTTGCGCGTCGTTGACATGTCTCGAAACGAGCGGTGACCAGCTGATCAGACGTCGGGGGTGAAGGGTATAGCTGGGTCAAGCATCAGGGTATGACAACTGTTCCATGCTTCTTTCTCTATGTGAGCAGCGAGACCAAGATTTCAGGTTCCCATGAAGCCAAAGCCCGGAAGCTTACGGCCGATCTCATCAACCGAGCCATTGACATTGCTGAAGACTTTGAAGAAAGTGTTCGGGTTATCAATGATCTGGCAAGAGAGGACAACTGGGGATTCCGAGCGTGGACATGAGATGTCAACTTATTCAACCGCAGGCAGCAGGAGCACCAGCGCGAATACAAAGTAGACCTTGCAAGAGCACTGTGGGAGTACCGCACGCTGGACAAGCTCAACGCGATCGATGACGTGATGAAAGTTCATGACGAAAGCAACTACAGCTTGACCTTGGTCAGAAAGTACAAGGAGACTCAGCTGGACGCCTTGTACTCTCTATCCAAGCTTGTGACTCCTCTCCGAGACTCGGCTGGAGCTACAATAGCCCGAAGATTCTCAGACTACATGAGCAGCACGGTGTCCACAGATTATGATGCCGTTGTTACTCGTTCTGGAATATCAGCTTTTTCCGTGCACAAGTGAGGGGTCCGACAGTTTTGTTTGTGTTTGTTGCATACATCAGCCTCAAGAGTAAGCCGAGGCAGTAAAATGCCTTGTAGCCCGTGGAAGTGCTTTGCAAAGTAAAACGTCCCGTGAGAATGGATATCCACACTCCTTCCTGCGAATTGGGCTTTTGCATTTGCTGACACGAAAGAGAGAAGCTGTTGTGCTTCATTTGCCCAGTTTGATGCACCCGAATGTTCCCGTTTGCCCACCTACTGATCCCTGAGCTTTGTTGAAATGATGTGGAGGGCGTTGTGGCCTACGCGTGCTAGAAGACCCTGGGCTTGGGGTGGGAGAGGCATGGCGAATCCTTTGCAATTTGCATTGTGTGGCTGTGGGCACCTTAACGGATGTTGCGGACACCTGTTTTGGATGGTGGAAGGCTGCAAACTTCCACTTCCGCGACCCCAAGTGTGAGCCCAGTCTTTTTACAGCCCACCGGGGCAAATGTCACAAAAAGCATAAAAGTGGTAGTGACCCACGAGAAGGCTACGGAAATCTCTGACCCGCACGACACCTTTCTTTGGATGCCCCTCTCCCTCTCTTTCTGTCTCTCTCTCTTTCTGTCTCTCTCTCTCTCTCTCTGTCTCTCTCTCTCTCTCTCTCTCGCTCTCTCTCTGTCTCTTCTCCTCCCTCTCTCCCTCTCTCCCTCTCTCCCTCTCTCCCTCTCTCCCTCTCTCCCTCTCTCCCTCTCTCCCTCTCTCCCTCTCTCCCTCTCTCCCTCTCTCCGTCTCTCCCTCTCTCCCTCTCTCCCGCTCTCCCTCTCTCCCTCTCTCCCTCTCTCCCTCTCTCCCTCTCTCCCTCTCTCGCTTCTCCCTCTGGCTCTCTGGCTCTCTGGCTCTCTGGCTCTCTCTCTGTCTCTCTGTCTCTCTGTCTCTCTGTCTCTCTGTCTCTCTGTCTCTCTGTCTCTCTGTCTCTCTGTCTCTCTGTCTCTCTGTCTCTCTGTCTCTCTGTCTCTCTGTCTCTCTGTCTCTCTGTCTCTCTGTCTCTCTGTCTCTCTGTCTCTCTGTCTCTCTGTCTCTCTGTCTCTCTGTCTCTCTGTCTCTCTGTCTCTCTGTCTCTCTGTCTCTCTGTCTCTCTCTCTCTCTCTCGCTCTCTCGCTCTCTCCCTACAAATCCAAAACGGTGCCCTTACACGGCATCCTTCATAATGAATGCGGAGTATATTGACATGCCAGGTTGCTTTGATCATTGCCGGCAGCAGCCCAGCTAGCAGCCGGGAATCAATGGCTCCTGAGCAGCATTTGTCGGCCTTTTGAGTTCCTGACCCTCAGAGACCACGCGTTTTCTATGCTAGACTTGACACTGAAACTTCCGAGAAATCTGACAGCACCAGTCCCTAAAAGGTTGGGTTGTTCGTCGGATTGCTACCCAAGCTTAGCAGGGTTCCCGGATATTCATGCCTGTTTTGATGCCAGGGGCCTGTTTGAGATATCCGCTTTGCTCTTGGCAATTGTGCATCAGGTGAACGTTCGTCGATTTCTGGCCTTTGGCCGGAAAATGACGCCTGATATATATTGGAAAAGGATTTGATTGTGCTTAGGAGTGGGGCAGGGCAGAAACTCTGGATGATTGAAGCTTGTACTGCCCGCTGCTCGGGCATGTCCAAATCTTGTAGCGGAAGGCCTCCTCATCTATTCAAGCTTGTGAACCCTCAGCCCGCAACAACGGCCAAGGAGATGGGGCAACAGCGACTTGCATTGTTTACAGGCGGTGAGAACAACGAGCGTCGACGGTGCGGAGGAGTGCGTGGAAAATTACAAGCTGGTGGTGATCCATTTTGACTCATATTGTGCGCAATTCTGCGAATTGGCATGTAAAGACCGGGAGATATGCAAGCTTTTGGCCTTTATATTGTGTTTGGGAGTAACTAGTGTTTGAACAGGCCAGGGTGGCGATGCTTTCTCTGCAAAGCTGGAAGACTTCAACTAGCTGCTATAGTCATAGCAAAGAACCAAAGGAAATCCGCATCTTACAGGCTAGTGAGCTGCTTTGACATGTGGTTTCGCAAATCCACATGCAAGCATGTATGGATGAATTAACATTTCAAAAATCATTCATGTGATGGTCGGAAGTGTGACGACCAGACAGCCAATATTTCTTTGCAAATTGCCAAGTTTGGGTACACAGGTGATCCCTGCGCTAAGGTGACAAGAGCTACTGCACGCCTTCCACCAGGCAGAGGGCAGGGAGGATGAAAAGACTGGAGTACCATGTTGTCTTCTGAAATTTAGGGGCTGCGCCCAGGTGCGGGCAGCGCGAGCTGTTGTCAGAAACCCGCGGTATATATAGATAAGTGCAACGTAGGCCCGAAGTGCGCAACTTGTGGGTGATCGTAGGCTCTCAGCCCCCGTCGGCCCTCACCCCCCGTCCGCCGGACCCCGCTGATGCTCATGATGCGCGCCCTTTGGCGGCTTCCGCAACCCACTCAAAAGCTTGGGCGCCCACGTCGCGCCGCCGGCGCCGGTTGCGGGCGCCCGAGGGCTCATGATGCTCGCCGGCTCGCCTCCTGGCGTCGTCCACGGCGGCCCCGAAACCCGCCACACCGCGGGGAATGGCTGCAAAACGCGTGCGCGTTCCGAGACGCCTTCGGGCCAGGCCCCGCGCGGCCCGAGGGAGAAACGAGGGTCCGATGATGCGGGGTCCGGGGCGGGTCGGCGGCACTGTCGGTCGTGGCTTCTGCTTCGCAGACGAAGCTCATTCGTCTGAGCCATAGCTCAGTCCATACAGGGCAGCGAAGCGCTGCCCGATTTAAGAGCCTCCGGCTCAAGCCGCCGACCCCGTGGGCGACAGACCAGAAGCCGAATGCACTTGTACAGGCAAAGTCGTTTGGTGTCCGCGAGGCCCGAAGGTTTAGTTCTAGAAGGAGACGCCAAGATAAGCAGGGGCAGCACGAGTTCAACCTGGTTTCCCCGCATGCTACCTCTGTCGAAGGCCGCTGAGCCTTAAACCTTAAAGGAACAAGAAAGACACATTCTTGGCGACGAGCTCAAAAAACGGGCGCCAGTTTTTGTGCGCCAGTTTTGAGCCGCTACTCGCAGTCGCAGTGGTCCTAAACCCTCAAGCCGACAAGCTTCACTGGTGCGCTTCTAAGATTGTGAGACTAAACGGGAACCTTCAAGTTGACAAGCTTCGCTGGTGCGCTTCTAAGATTGTGAGACAAAACGGGGGAAGAGGCGGAAGCACGCGAGGCTGCGCGACGATCACGCGAAGTAGGAACAAGGAGCACTTTGGAGCGGAGATGCCAAGGTGGAAGAGGAAGAAGGGGGCAAGGCGGGTGGGGGGAAAGGGGCTGTGGTGTGATGCTTTTGGGGGCTTGGGTGCTGCTTGCAAACAGCTATGGGGAACCCCCCCCCCCTTAGGGATTTTGGTACCTCCCAGCCCATCGAAACCCATCCAACACGCCGCAAGGGTCGGCGGATCACATCTGGGGCAACTGGGCCCATAGATTGTTTAACCGTGGCCTTTAGCAGGCAATGCTCCAATGCAGAAGAATCCGAGAAGTTGCACTTCACGGACAACCGTACAGCTTGGTGTGAGAACCCCTGCACTCGCGTGGTCGCACATTTCAAGCAAGGCAAGGCTGAAAGTGCTAACCGATTACTTCCACCTCTGCCTTCTGCGCCAACACACTTGCGGATCGAGGATGAGGTCATCGAAGAGGATCCTCAGAACCAACACGTTCGGCTGCAGTTGGACCTTCCACAAGATGCAGAGATCCTATCAGTGCAGATTCGGATCATCCACTTCACGTATGATGACGCAAAGCACAAGTGGAAGCAGCACCACCGCATCTTCGAAACGCACGCGCCTGATGCTTCTGTCACGGTGACACGGCTCACAGCCGGCACGTACTACTCGTTTCAAGCGGCAGTGGTGAATGAAGTTGATGAAGGTCCGTTCAGCCCAGTCCCTGGCCTCTCTTCGAGCAAGTTTTTTCATCAAATACCTGCAGCTTATAAGAAGACTGAGTTGTTCTGAGAAAGGGGTCAGCAGACATCAGCAATACTGCAACGCGCCTCCAAGAATTCAAGCCCTGCGGCTCCGCCCCAACCTATTTCTCCGTAGGCCTCAAACTCATGAGCCATGCAAGGTCTACCCCAATCGGAGTGGCCAGCTGGTTGGCCCACGAACAGTTACTATTGAGCCGAGAAATGCAATTACTAGGCCGTCTGCAGGCAGCAACCTGTGCTTCTTGGACGGCGTTAAACCCTGATTTCAGTATAGTAGTTGGGGGTATCTTGGAAACCCAGGCTTGGCTGCAGCTGTGGCGCCGGTCATGTCCAATCGTGCGCCGAACTGGCTCGTCTGGGAAGTGAAGGTTCGCGGGTTACTCTCTCCTTCGGCAGGACGTCGAGACACTGCGGCTACACTATCAGAATTCTCTATACTTAGGGGTGCGTTCTCTTTCTCCGGCAACCCTGCAGGTAATCCTGAGCGCGCTGCCTCCCAGCCAGGAGAAGCCTTCCAATGTGGAGTTTCTGGTTTGAATGTTGTGACTGGCAAGCTGATTTTGTTGGGGAGCTGCTTTCTTTGACCATGGTTAGCGCACGCCGTTTGCCAAGGTTCATGCAGGGAGGTGAAGTCCTCTTCAGCTGCTCAGACTTCGAGAGGGACTCATCCACCCCGCTGATTGCTTATTGCAAGCTCCCCTGCTACGAGCAGTCCAGTGACCGTGATCTACAAGTTGTGGTTTGGGGATCCAATCGGATTGTGCGCATTGCTGAAGGCACCTTCAAGCATCTGGTTCCTAATTAGCGGATGAGCAGACAAAGCAGGCATTGGTAGGCGGTAGGCAAACTCGAATACTCTGAGGAACTGAAGAATCAGACACACCCAACCACGTAAGGCACGTGGCCAGATCGGAGACAAGTTGCTACGAGTTCGCGCCTGAAACGCCAGTCTACTGCAACGTCACGGATGACAGGCGTAAGAGATGCCTACCCAGCGCACTGGCAAATGCTTCGGTTTGCGAATTATGCAAGGATGCTAGCACACCAACGACTTACAGGATCCACGAGCACCTCTGCACGGGATTTCCGTGTCTTGCAGATGAGCTATGGTGCCCGAGCACCGCTTCTGGATGCGTGTCCGGCACGTGTACAGAGAACTGTCATGCCGACAGTGTGATGCATCAGCTCAGTGGCGGGCAGATGTGCGCCCTGCCTTGTGAACTCACAGGCTTGCCCATCGAGATTACTGCTGACCCTGGCTTCCAAGTCAACCCGGGCAGCGTGGCAGTCCTGACTTGCAGCCTTGGCTACATGCCAATGTGGAGCGCAGAGGCCGGCGCAGCTGGCCCAGACCGAGCCGAATCTCGGTGGTTTCAGAAGAAGCTTTCTTGAAAGCAGTGCATGCAATGAGAGCCAAGCTTGGGGGCTGTCGATGGTTTCAATCCGGTTTGCCTTAGCGCCAGGAATACCTATGCCCTGCTGACAACGTGCAAGCTGAGCACGTGCCAACCGACTACGACCTCTTGTGCAAGGAGCCGAGCATAGCCGAGCACTATAGCCAGACTGTAGCCTATGGCAACCTGTCTTTCCCTTGTACGTATTATCGTTGTGTTTGCATCTTGTCTACTTGGCTCCGGCTGCATGACATGACTCTACAAGGCCTTGGTCAGATGTTGGAACATCTAGTCACTTAGTCTACACTGTAGAGCACCTTGACTTTGCACATCCCAAAGCTTTGCTGTGCCGCAGGCGCCATGCGAAGGCCCTTCTTCAACGACTGCGATGGCTGGTGTCGTCAGCCATGAGACTTATTCTGGTTGGCATAGACACGTTTTGGCCATGCTTCCACTGGGGCTTGCCTGTGTGGGACCACTAGATGAGAGCCAGCGTTGCTCTACTCCTTGATTCTGTATTTATCCTCAGACAACTTATTAGAAGAAACTGTTCTTAAAGCCTAGACGTCAAATCAGAAGCCAGCCTAAAGCCCAATCTCGTACACCAGGAGAGGCTCCTCCATGGTCAGCCCATGGAAGCACCGTGCAAGTCGTCAGAGTATGAGAGCGGCACAGTTTCTCCGGCAGAACAGAGATGGGGGCCAACTTAGAGTGCAGGACTTTGAGTCATGTTTCTGGCACAAAGTCCAGTGATAGGAACTCGTTGTTACAAGTCCGGAGGGGAAGAACAGTACTTGCAGATAGGACCTTTCTCGGAGCTGCGGTTTGTTTGTTGATGTGCGACACAGCTCAGGTGCGCTTGCAATGCCACGAGGGCACTCTTGTGGAGTTGAACTCCAGCACGTGCAAGGCCATGCGCTATGGGGTGCGTGTCATCAGGTGTCTGGAAAGATTTTGGTCCATTTGTCATTTATGGAGCTATGCTTCGAGAGAGACACTTCGATTTATGGGGTGGCTTGTATAGCATCCCTACTTCCCACGCCCTGAAAACGCCTTTGTGAGTTGATCAGAGCTGCTTTGTGTTGTGCAGATGGCCTTCTCGCGGCGCAACGTTGACAAGAGGATCTCATTGTTGGACGCTGGAGCGTATGGCAGCGGGACGTTCAGCGATGTACAAACCCAGGCGACTGTCCATTTTATGGGCGTGAATGGAGACCACATGTACCTAGTAGCTCGTCGATCCGCGACGCCATACATCGCGAAGCTGTACAAGATGGATCTGTCAAGCATGGAACTGAACCTCATGATAGACTTCGCGGAGCGTGCCGACGTTCCGATGCCAAACTTCGGAGCAGGGTTCGTCCATGAGGACTACATCTTCCTTGCGCAGAGCGAGGCATGGAACCCATCTAACGAGGAAGGCGTGATCGCGAGGGTTAGCATTGCGGACAATTCCCTCATCAAGCATGGGTCAAGGGTTCTTCAGAACACCAGAGGCATCCGTGTCGAGGATGCTTTCACAAATGGTGTCTACGGCTTTTTGCCGTGCTTCAATTACTGTGCAGATGGGAACAGTGGTGGCAGTTGCGGGTCGTCCTGCTCAAAGGTGTTCCGTTTCCAGCTGGACTTCCAAGGTGTTATCAGCGAACTTGACTTAAAGCGCAACGACTTTGCGCAACCAAATTTCGGGCTGTGCTCAGGGCAAGTCTGCTACGTGTCTGACGCTCAAGGCAACCACAGGCTGGCTCGCGCAAAACAACCCCAGGTTCCATACACCCTATACAGCCCACTGTGCCCTGAACCCCAGGCTGGCCGTGTTTGATCCAACTACGTTAACACATCTGGGCTATGTGGAATTGAGCTCGACTCGCCAGTTCCTGCGGGGCAGCAACTGGTTGAGCAAATGAACACTTTTCCAAAATAAACATCCCAAAAGTTGTCCCCCACGTTTGTGGGGATAGTGATACGCGGAAACTTCAAAATCGAGTCCATCACGGGTTGCTCAGGCTCGTTCGCAGCTGGCAACTACGTCTACGTCGCTGATGGTGGCACGGTGATGCGGGTCTTACAGCATGATGCACCCGTAACATCGTCTCGCATCTAGGCCGCACAGAAAGCATTTGCCAGCTGTTTTGCTGAAGCGCAAGGGGGAGGAGGTAGAAATTAGTAGGGCCTTCAAGACCTCACAGGCACGATCCTCGAATTGCAAGGCCGGGTCGACAATAGTTTGGGCAGTGTGAGATTTTCTGCTACAGACGGCGAGTACGGGTACGTCCGCAGCAGCTATGCTCCGTTGAGACTGGTACGGTTCGAGCTGGCGGACTTCCACGAAGACAGTACCCAGTTTGTGACCATCCCGCTTGAGCAAGACATGTCGTCTTCATCTGCGACTTGGAGCGCGGGCGAGTTTGTGTATCCATCTAAGTCTCATGGGTACATTTACTTCTCAGCTGGACCATCTTGGATTGGACGGATCAAGCTTTAAGGATGATCGTTCCAGGAAGGCAAGGCTGTTGGGGCAAGGGTGAAATGCATACCCTGTGCCCCGCGCGAACTCACATTTGGCTTGCCCCTTCAGCCTTCTTCGCAAGCTCAAGTTGGTGCGTTTGAACACAGAGCGGCCACTGCCAACTTGCTATTCCAGCCTTTTCCAGCTGGGTCATGTCCTGGAGAAGCTGGTTTCCTAGATTGCTTTGGAGTATGCGCTCCCGAAAAGACAGCTTAAGACAGGCACTTACATCTTTTACTAGCAAGCTGACGCACCCAGGCATTAAGATCCGTTGTTGCTTACCGTCGTGAAGGCACCCCTTCCTTGCAGGGACGTTGCAATCTGCGATCTTCTCGGCAAAAAAGAATTCTTGACTACACATGGTGAAAGCATGCTTCCACAGTAGCTGGTGATGTTGTTCTGGCAGCCGAGTGTGAGAACAGAAGAACCCAAGCCCGTTGCCGACCAAGCTGCCTCTTCCGCAGATGTTGTCCCGACAGAATTCGGTGGTGGGCAGCAATGACTGCCGCAACTGGAGACCCTGTCTGCTTGAAGATATATTGGCCAGAAGGCTCCCACCGTACCGTACCGGGTAGCTATCGACGCATTCTTGGCTGCTTGGGTGGCCACAAATTGAGTCAACACAGCAGGATTTGCGGTTTTTGCACTCTCCGAGCATGCAGAGAGTTTGTAGAACACGGGCTGCTTGAAAACGTCCGGTAGTTTGCATGTTTGACACAGCTGCATCGCGCAGGTATCATAGGACGCAGTCATTTTGCATCCCCCGCTTACAAGCTTAGGCCTCCTTCCTATGCAGGGCTGCTGGCCGCCAGCTTGCATGCCGGTACAGGTTCGAAAACAGCTTTTTGAGTTCCTGTTGTGCTTCACAGAAATCCTGGTACCGGCTTGCCCCTTTCGAGAAGGGTCGTTTTAGCCAACGCGACCTCGTTCTGCCAACTAGCTACTAGAGCTTGCATCAGCTTGTGCAGGCGTTGTGCTGGCACAAGTTGATAGTGGGCGGCAACGACTGCCCCAGGAGACCCCTCTTTGCTTGCGTCAGCTTGTGCAGATGCTGCTTTGACAGAATTCGGTGGTGGTCAGCACTGATTGCCACAACTGGAGACCTCTTTGCTTGGTGATATGTTGGCCGGAAGGGTCCCACCGTATCGAGTAGCTATCGATGCATTTTTGGCTGCTTGGGTGGCCACAAATTGAGTCAACACAGCAGGATTCGCGGCCTTTGCAGTCTCCGAGTATGCAGAGAGTTTGTAGAACACGCGCTGCTCCAACACGTCGGGCAGTTTGCATGTTTGACACAGCTGTATCGCGCAAGTATCATTGGACGCAGTCATTTTGCAGCCCCGGAGCACAAGCTCAGGCCTCTTCAGCTTGCATGCCGGTACGGGTTCGAACACAGCTTTGTGAGTTCCTGTTATGCTTCACTGACATCCTGATATCGGCTTTCCCCCTTTTTGAGAAGGGTCGTTTTAGCAAAGGCGACCTCGTTCTGCCAACTAGCTACTAGAGTTACTAGAGCTTGCATCAGCTTGTGCAGGCGTTGTGCTGGCACAAGTTGATAGTGGGCGGCAACGACTGCCCCAGGAGACCCCTCTTTGCTTGCGTCAGCTTGTGCAGATGCTGCTTTGACAGAATTCGGTGGTGGTCAGCACTGATTGCCACAACTGGAGACCTCTTTGCTTGGTGATATGTTGGCCGGAAGGGTCCCACCGTATCGAGTAGCTATCGATGCATTTTTGGCTGCTTGGGTGGCCACAAATTGAGTCAACACAGCAGGATTCGCGGCCTTTGCAGTCTCCGAGTATGCAGAGAGTTCGTAGAACATGCGCTGCTCCAAAACGTCGGGCAGATTGGACGCAGTCATGTTGCATCCCCCGATTACAAGCTCAGGCCTCCTTCCTACGCAGGGCTGGTCGCAGCTTGCATGCCAGTACGGGTTCGAACACAGCTTTGTGAGTTCCTGTTATGCTTCACTGACATCCTGATATCGGCTTGCCCCCTTTTTGAGAAGGGTCGTTTTAGCAAAGGCGACCTCGTTCTGCCAACTAGCTACTAGAGCTTGCATCAGCTTGTGCAGGCGTTGTGCTGGCACAAGTTGATAGTGGGCGGCAACGACTGCCCCAGGAGACCCCTCTTTGCTTGGGTCAGCTTGTGCACGCTGTGCCGACGTTTGCGTCAGCTTGTGCAAATGCTGTGCCGACAGCATTCGGTGGTGGGGGCAGCAGTGACACTGCCTGACACTGGCACAACCGGAGACCCGCTTCGCTTGGAGATAGGCTGCTCACCTCTAAGCGCCGAGACAAGATGCTGCGCCTGCTTCGCGTTTTGAAGAAGACCCCCAGAGTTGGGAGATGAAGACGTCAATCGGCTACCAAGGGATCCGACAATAACATTAAAATAAGATAATGGTATAAAAGCTCAATAACACTACAATAAAATCAGAATTTTAACGTGCAACTATTATTATTAGTGTCATTAGTGTTGGTGTCAGCAGGATTTGTGCTCCTTCGGAGAACTGTGTGGTCCCATGCCCCGTCGCGAAATAGGGTGCTCCCTGCCAATTTCTTATGAGCTAAGGTACTGTGGTTTAGGGTTTAGGGGTGAAGGCTGCGATCCTGACTTGGCAGCGGCCATTTTGGCTTCGGATCTAGTCTGTGCGGAGCAATGGACTTTGCACTATTGCCAATTTCCAAGGACTTGTGGGAGTTCCCCTTTGCTGCTGTACAAAAGCTAAGCCTGCAGGCTCCTTTCTTTACCTTTTCCTCTTTGTCATAAGTACGAGCTTTGCGTTCGTTGTTGATATCAGCTTGGAATAATGTTGACCGTGCACGCATGATTACAATCAGAACCGCCATAGTATTGGTCGTCCCCGCCGTCGTATCAATAGCAACCGCTGATGGTGAGAGGTTGAATAGTAGCAGCGATACAGTCACACGAAACCACAGCAGATCGATGATTTAGCTTTAGGGCTTCAGGGCTTGAGGGCATATCGAAGCTGCAGCCATCTGCAACTGCAACTGTGGAAGCAAACATTTCTGGACAGACAAGCGGCTTTATTTGACCGACGCACTGCTGTTTCTAGTGGTTCTGCTGCCCGCAGTTGTCGTTCGTTGCCATCGCGCCACGTACAATGGTTAAAGCTACTATCAACTACTGTTTTGCTGCTACGTGATAGCTTCGACAAGTGGCGTGAACAACTGCGAACATCGCGATGATGACGGCGCACGTGCAGAAGCAGTATGCAGAAGTACATGCGTTTGCGGCTTTTCTACCGTACTTGTCCTGCCTTTGCTCTTGACATTTGCTACTGCTGCTTCTCATAGTACTTATTGCATATGACTGTTGACGGCACAGGTAGTGTTTCCGGCAATGCCCGTATCGGCAGTAGTGTTAGTGGCATAATGGCATAATGTTTAGCAGCAGGCATTTAGGTGTCTTGGTCCCGTTCATGGGTATAAACGGTGTCGGTGGCGTGATGTTCTGCCATGAATGCTCTCAAACAGTTTTGGTACAACTGCCGTTTATTCGGGTTGTGTTACCAGAGTTTCAGCAAAAGACGGCCTTAGTAGTAGACTTCCCGATAAAAACCCTAAATCGCCGCTTTTGCAGCGAGGATTCCTTGGAGTGGCAATGTAGCATCCTTCAGCTCGGAGGCGGGAGCTGGGATGTGCGAAGGAAGAGTTTATCCGCTTGTGTGAGAAGCAGAGAAGCCCCCGAAGTTGGGGGGGGTATAGCCGAACAATAACTAGTTAGCAGGCGCACCACATGCAACAACAACAATCGTGTACCGTGACACTGTAAAAGAAGACTATGACGGTTACGAGGACGAGGAAGACAGGGCGATGTAAACGACAACAGCGACAACGACGACGAGGGTGGCGACAACGATAACGATGACGAAGACGGCAGCGGCGACGACGATGACGACCAGAACCAAGATGGCGACGACAACGGTGCCACAGCAGCACCCACATCGATCAAAACACTTTTGACATGTACCGCCATGGCCGCCGCCAGAACCACTGCAAGCAGCAACAAGGACGACAACAACGTCAGATACAAAGTCAAGACGATATGAATGTGATGAGGACAAGGACACGCGTGAGGGACACAATCTTGGCAGCAGCTTGACGTATTTATGTTGTCGCTCTCGTTGTCGTTATCGTTGTCCAAATCATGACCATCATCATGACCATCACCATCCTCATCATCACCATCATCATCATCATCATCATCACCGTCATCACCAACAACATCAACATCAACATCACCATCATCATCACCATCATGTTCGTCATCATCTTCATCGTCATCATCAACATCATCAACATCATCAACATCGTGTTCATCATCATGTTCAGCACCATCATCGTGTTCATCATCATTTTCATCATCATGATCAGCCAAATCAACCTCATCGCCATGTTCATCATGGCTGCCATCGTCGTCATGGTCGTCATTGTCATGCTTACGCTGGCGACTTTCATCGCCATCATCAACAATATCACGAGCAACATGCAACCCCAGCAGCACAGCAATAACAACAGCAATGCTACTAGTACATACTAGTACCAATAGCTTTAGTTTTGCAAACCACAATTTTCAACAAGAGCGACATCAAGGACATCAACAGCTTCGGCCGTGGGTCGCTTTCCAGTAGATCCCTGGAGTGAGCCAGGCCTGACAGTCCTGCTCAATTGCGGCTGGTCAGAGTCTTTCGATCCGAAGCTGTTGTGCCCCGGAGAAACTGGGATATCTTTGAATCCTCGGATTTGGAAAGGTCTTCTAGATTTCGGTCGATGATACAGTGGGAGAGGGATTGCAAGAGTAAGATTTCTTGTTAGTCCTTTGGTCATGTTGCCATCTCGGCGGCATCAGTTCTGAGCGTGGAGACGCCTAGAGGCCTCACGATGTGGCAGCACCTTTGCAAGCGAGAACTATTGGAACCCGCTGGCACAAGATTTTCACAGGCCGAAGTT